AGATTTTTAGAGAGCCCTTTATTAATGATATTGACCGTTGAATATATTACAGTAGTTGGTACCTTTATGCATATTAAAACGCCATTATTTTGACTACGAGAGATTGAAATACCGTTGTGGATATAAATAGATTTCTTAAATTAGAATAGTAATGTATGCCTATTAGAAAATAGTCTAGCTATTTGAAAAATTCTTGGTAAATGAGGAGCTCGATGGCGCAGGTGGTTAGCGCGTTCGGCTGCGATCGTTGAAGTTAAGCAACTTTCACAGTGGTCGGTCATTGGATTGGTCATCGCACTGGATCCGCGTGGTGGCTCATCGCCCAATCTCCCTATTCCATCCATAGGGCAGGCCTGTGCACTGAGGACATTAATAGGCTTATGATGATGATGTTCTTTGTCCCGCCGCCGACGATGAACGAGATGCGAGTAGAGCTAGAAACTAGAAACGAGTTAGCGAGCAGCGTGAAGCGAGTGTGTAGTTCCGATAGTTTTATCGATGGGCTATAAGCGAGAGTCCTGAGAAAAATGCACTTGTATATTGACGACTAAGGGAGCATCGCTGAGCTAGCATCAATGAGCGAGTAATATCATTGATAACTCTTGTCTTGCTAAGTGTGACAAGATGTGACAAGGGGGGACGGGGGGTCTAGGGCAACGTGACGTTCGTCGTTCATTAAAAAAATTTAAATTAGTATTTCTTTCAACTATTTTTCTTTCTCAATTTTCATCAAGATAATAATAATATAAATATTTCCAACACTCACACCAATTAGCCTAGCCCCAAAGTAAGCACTGTAAGGCTTGTGTTATGGGATGCTAGGGTAACGGATAGAATACATATAGTTTACATATATAAGTATATTTATATAGAAATACATATTAAACATCCATGACTGGAGTACAAATGCTCGTGTTCATCACACAAACATCTGCCACCACCGGGATTCGAACCCGGGACCTCTCGAGTCGGCGACGCCTTGAACTTTAATGGTACATTTGTTTTTATGCTTAAACAGTGGGACACGGCATTCCTAAACTTTTTTTCATTTTTAAATCTGTTTTTTATATTTTTTATTTTATAGTCATAATTGTTTTATCATTTACATTTGTAATGGAAAGTGACTTCATGGGTTATCTCATATTGAACTCATTTTTCAAATTGACGACTCTGTATATAATACAGGGAGAAAAAAACAGCCCTTGCTGAGTTTCTTGCCGGTTCTTCTCAGTACAAGGTCTCCCGCCGTAGATTTGCGAACCGATGGCGTAGCTTTTCGACATTCACAAGTGCTTGTAACAGCCTAGACTGAATAAATGATATTGAATTTTGAATTTTTTGAATTGAACCCGGCGTACAAACCACTCGGCCACGGAGGTCGTCAGATAGAAAATCATTTGTTTCGTATTTAGTAAACATATATAGAAATGTGATTTATTTATTTGTTATGAAAATATATTTATTTATATAATTAAATTTTATTATAAAAACTAAATAAATATTTAAATTCTTAAAATTTGTGTACTATCAATTGAAATTAATCATACTTGGGGGGGGGGGGGGGTCTCCGTTTTTGTGACGGAATATTTCAAGAGGGGTCACAGAAAGTGTGACACAGCAGGACAATAGGGGGGGAGGGGGTCGGAAAAAGCTGATTTTAGCGTGACGTATTTTATGAACGGCCCCTTAGGATAACTGCGTTATAATATACCATGTGAAGTGTGAAATACCTACTCAAGTCTACGGTTCCTTGAAGTTGTGAAAACTTCGTATTTCTAAAAAAAATACGGCCTTTTTTGTTTTTGTTACCTACAAAGGAGATTGCTCAGCTTCCATACATGTTTGGCCTAAAGACCAATAATCATGAAAAATTGTTTCCTAGATTCAAAATTATGTATAAATTACTGTAGAAACGAATATTATTGGCGGACACCCCTGAGAACTTCTATAAACCATATACATTGAACATATTAAAATAATAAAAAACAAATAAGTTTTATAGTAAACTAGGGAAATCAAGCACCGAAATTATGGATAAGATTCAGGTATATAGAGCATGTAGATTAACAGATAGTTGCCTGTTTTTAAAGTTAATGCATAAGAGTAACTTTTAAAATCAGGTGTCATCTATGCATTTCCGGTTATAATAGGGTACTCTGTGACAGAAACTGTGTGATGATTGCGAATGAGCCACAGATTAGAGAGATTTTTTTAAACTCTCGTTAACCAAAGAAAGCTAAGAGATTTAGGTTATATAGCCATATATTCAGCAGCTTCATTATTTTTGTTATGTTTTAAATATAACCATATTTTAGATTTTTAGTGTATCACACCTTATAATTTTATTTATTTATTAATTTATAGTTAGGGAACGTAGGCCCATAGATAGATACCATAAAGTGTAACACATATACAGATTATAATGTGTTTATGGAGGTATAGGTATACTTTATGATGTCGCTTACCATCTATAATAATTGTCTGAGCACATTTGCATGTAATGAAAATGATAATATGGTTGATATTAATACCACAATGTAAAAAAAATGATTTATTTTATCGATCTTTACAAAATAGATTTGTTTTTATATTATATAAACAACTTCGATCAGTCTTTAGCTGAATGTTACTACACCCATAGCCATTATAAAAAATGATTCGCATGTTTTCCAAACCGGTAAAATTAAAAGTCCTTTTTAAAGTAAATATATTATACAAAGGTGTCCGTTGAAATCTAATGACTGTAAATTAAATTATAAATTATTCCAAGAATTACAGTATATGTCAATATTTTATGTGCATTTGGGCCAATTTGTTCGGAATCCTCGCTTGGCAAGTCCGACTAGCGCTGGTCCGGTTTTTCATGTGGGGCTTATTTAACGAGCGTATCACACCTGACTTTAAGTTTGGACAAAGTCTAAATTGTAATATGGTCGACCAATGGCAAAGTGTTTCTTGGTGGTTAAGCAACTTAAGCTATAGCCATCATAGGATGGGTGACCTAAAAGTATCTTGAGCTCCTGCGTGCTTCAGAAGACACGTAAAGCTGTTGGTCCCGGCTGCATCTGCAGTCGTAAGCACCCGCCAATCCGCATTAGGCTCGCGTTGTGGGTCAGGCTCATTCTTCCTATTTCATCGATAGGGAAAGTTTATGCCCGTGCAGTGGAGATATAATGGGCGATGATGCAATTTATTTATTTTATTTTAAAAGGGCGGCAAACGAGCGTAGGGCCCTCCTGATGGTAAGCGGCCCGATCACCATAGCTTATATAGACATTTGCGATATCAAAAATATCACTCGCACCATTGCCTACTTTTTTATGTCTGGGAAATGCCTTGTGCATCCTTCAATCACTGAAGGAGCGAAAAGAAGGTATGTAGGACTCCCCTCTGCCCATTTCAGCCAGCCTTGGGGCTCGCTTAAATGAACAGGGCCCTTCTTACGCCCTGAATAGAGCCACTAAAAACCGGACAATACTCCTGCACCGGTCACCTGGCGCGCATTCTGAGGACCGCAGTCCCCCCAATGCGCGTCAGGAGTGCGGGTGATGTGCGGTACCCTGTTCGATTGCCCGCGCACTTGCAAGTTGCCTATATACCCTGCCCCAATCACTAGGAGCCCTGGAACCTTACTCACCGACAGAAACAAAACACTACCAAAAGAAAATGTTATTTTACTGTGATTCACTGTAAGGTGGAGGTTACTTCCCCAGAAGGGCGCTCCAATTCAAACGGGAAATTCGCTATGCCTTACCGCTCTTAAAATGATGTAAAAGATAGGTAAAAGTAAAAGCATTCTTTATGAGAAATTTATAAAAAAATACAATAACTGTTATAAATCATTCACTCCCTATTTAAACTTTTTTTTATTAATGTCAAGATGAAGACATGAAAACACAGCCCTTGTCCGGTGTGTTCTTCTAGGTTTTTCTCAGTACAAAGTCTTCCACCGTAGACTAACGAACCGATTGGCTTTTCGATTTTCATATGTCCTGGAAGTAACAGCCTAAATCAATGAAAAGATATTGAAAAACACTGGCAAACTTTTACATTTTAAATTAAAAATATATTTATCAAACAATAAAAACTATGATCCCATATGTAGGTGAACAAGTAACATACATTTCCGAATTCTGCGACACCATTTTAGATTCTATCGAGACCAGTAGCGTAAAGTATGATGTACAATTGAGATGTCATCGTTACTAGTAACATTCCGTTTATACGTTTTTTATCAACATCATCTGGGACGACCCATTGACTCAGTGCAACAATACGGTGTAATGACCAGACACATTTTTTCCTATCAAGGCTTGCAGAATATCAAGTTTTACGCGTGCGGAGTATATCACGTAGTAATGCAAATTTCACATTCTTCGTTTTAAATACAAAAAAATATTTTGCTTCTGACTTGTTTTTTTTTTATAAAAGCTGTAACTAATTTCCCTACTACAAATTTTCTTACCCTGTTTAGAATCTCGAATCGGTATTTATTTCTTAGGTTTTCACGCACACCACTCTTTAAAAATAAATATGACGGTCGTTTCGCATTCTTTTCAGGCTGCTGCTGTTCTGCTGCTGCAGGCGGCTGCAATTCTGATGACGCAGCCTGAAAAGCATGCGAAACGTCATAAATAAATAAATCAGTGCATCTATACCGTTGAAACTTGTTTTATCGAATCGGTATTTTTTGGTTATCATAAGCAAATGTTGTTGAGCCCTATTTTAAAGAAAAATTCTATAACCTATAATTTCAAGATAAAATCAGATATTGAAATAAAACTTATATTTTTGATATATGTCGTATCAAAAAAATAAGTCATATTTCCGTATCTCCCTTAAAAGCCTAACGGCAGTCGGCACGCGTATTCAATAAAACCAATACACAACAAATCAACTCGATATTTCGGTTTACCGCAGCAATTAATTTCAATATTGTATCAAGACAGCGCAGTGACCCTGTTAAGCTTGGTGGTCAATCGGAAGATCGGGCAATACGCCACTCGGATGCCTAGGCAGAATACAAGCGAATGCCACATTGGTTGTTAGACCGTCATACCGATGCAACCACGCGTAGTTGAGACATGGAAATCGCGCGGGAAAACTGACAGTTCAGTTCGTGACCCCGAGTGGATTAAAGAAAACCAAGTGTATTTTTTTGTGTTACTGTGTATGAAGATTTTTTTCGGGGCAGCCTCAAATAATTTAGTGTAATAAAACAGTAAGTATTTGTGTAAAATTTTTACATTGAGACAGCATTGAAAATTATTATTCAAATACATTTTGTAAAAAATAATACTAACAACAGACTTCACTAAGAGCTAACTGTTTTAAACAAAACAGTAATATATAACAAAATTAAAAAAGGGGTATATTTACCGTGCCAATTTTATTGTTATAAAACTGCGCGACTTGGTGATTTATAACATGATTTTGTTCAGTGCACTTTTTCTTTGGTGACAGACAGCTTACAAGTAAGTAATAGTGACAGTTATGTATTCCCAATATCTGATCGTTAATAACACAGCAGCGATCAATGCCTGCTCAATTAGTTAAGGCTTGTGAAGAGGAAGATAGTTTTTGCACTTTAACCTCGTAAGTCATCCATTATGTATTCTTTGGAAAGGTTGGTAAAAAAGATGTACCTAATTGCTAAGTAGATGGCAGCAGGGTCGTTGGTTCACTAGAGAACGTATTTTGTCTTTGATGGCGGAATTAGGAGCAACCGCACATTGAGTTACTAGACACAGCCACCAATCGTTATCACTAGTTGCCGCACTTTTGGTTGAATTCCGATATGTTCCGTCGAAAGCTTGCAGCAGAGGTCGTCAGCACGCTTTTCTGCCGTGTTCAGCAAAACTCGTGTAACTTCGTTTCTTATTCGTTTCGTCTTATTCGTTTTTTCAGTTGCCATTTTAACGAAATAGTTAATTAAAAAAAACTTTTTATTGTATTTAATGAGCCGTATAACTCGATTTGTAGCGTTTTTGTTAGTCACAGCCCCACCTGGCCTGCCTTAAATTCGGCCCTGATTTGAGGTGTTTTATAACCTTATTTACCTGGGCTGAAGCAGCAGTCGTAATGGCTCATACGAAATTGTGTTACGAAGAATAACTCTCTATATTCTTGTAAGGGTTGGAGTCGTGAATCCTAAAGAAAATTGACCAAGACACTATTGATGCTTTCAAAATGTGGTGCTGGCAAAGGATGCTGGGTATTCCTTGGATGGATAGCACATCGCACCAACTTGTACTCGCACCATATTGTGCTATCCTGCAAAAGCTGAAAAAAAACATATTTCCACCATCTGCCAAAGTAGGATCCGATCGCCATTACTTCTTTACTTGGCCTGTTTTGAGATGTATTTCAACGATATGAGAGATGTGACATGAAAACACGGCAGGTTTGTGACATGGAAACATTTCGAACAATGTATGAGAAAACATCGAATTAAAGACCATCGTACAATTTAACATGCTACTATACATATTATACCTACAATTCATCATGCTACTATGGCCGACTGTGTGCGCGAAGTGAGCGACAAAACGCGGCCAAAAGGCGCAAACTCGGGCGACTCCCGCAGTTTGTGGCTTGGACGGCGCGGCGGCGCCACTAGAACCGCGCGTGAAAAAACTCGACCGCAGCTTGTGGTCGCATTTAGTGGCTGCCACAAGAGGCTCAATGTGCGGTTGCGCTTAAATAATTATTGGAAACTAAATCACAGGATGGGTGACCAAGCGTATTTCATTTTGAAAAATTTCTTATTGAAGTGCGATCTGTATTAGATAGGTAGATATTATAGTTGGCAGTTCGTTGTCATGAATAGGAATTGTTCTTGATGTTATTGCTTTAAGTTATAAAGAATTAAAGTTTTGAGATCGTAATAAAGTTATATAGATCGTATATTTTACTTATTTCATCGAACATCACCAGCTTAGTACTACTTTTAGTAGGAAGAATAGTTACGCAATGTTTTATTCAATGAATTCTAAAATGCCATTTGAGTAATGTGAACAAAACCTAGTAGGTATAGTACTTATGTCATTAAAGTCAATGGCAAAATACTGCTCAACAAGTTTATGCTTATTTCATGACTTAAAACCAAATAGAAGTGTAATGTATTTAGGCTTAAATTTTGTTTGTGTGTTTCTTGAATCCACAATAATTTCTAAATATCTGAAATATTTGGATGAAGCGAGTCGCATTACAATTCGTACCTTGTCACGAATGGCAATTGTCTATGAATAACAAAAATAAAGATGACATTTTCAAAAATGAAAACATAGTTTTGTATCACATTTCTTCGATAAGAGGTTTTTTTTCTGTCCCTGTTTTAATCCCTGTAGGATTAAAACAACGTTTTAATCGTTCAGGACTAAAAGGGATTTGAATTAGGAATTTAGAAAGGTTGGTTAATATTAGAAAAGTTCTAATCACCAAAGATATCAATCACGAACATCTTATGAACAAGTCACGGGCTGTACAAAAACTAATCGCGCGCTTGTCAAATAAAACAAAAATGAAAAAATAACAAAAACCAGGATTCTACTTTCGAACTGTTCCTTCTGATTCCTTCGCTCGGCTCTGGTTTCAGAAAATGCTCTCCCTTGAAATAGTTAATTGCACAATTATTAATATCCTATAACATAACAATATGTAATTGATTTATATGTGTAGGTACCATACAAAATTTATCTCACTTATATTTTTACGAACACACAACACTTTTCGAACGGGTAAAAATTTATCAACATTTTTAATTGTTATGACCACGGAATATCAGAATCCGTAACGTCAGGAATAATAAAATAAAAATGACACTTAGTAGCTGTTTCCAAATGTGTTTTATGAAATGTATTATAATATAAGTAGTTAAGTTTCCATTGTACAACCACTATAATAAAATAATGTTGATCTCTGCAACTCACTTTCACGCCACGCAACGGATTTTGATGGTGGTTTTAACCGTCAGTTAGATAATTTTTTAAAGGAAATTTTAATATGTATTATGCTTCTTCCACACCTGCGCGACGAATCTTTGGTACTTGGTAAATGGCCAAAAATTTGCGTGCAATTTTTTTAATAGTTTCATCGTTCTTACCATTTTGCGATTCAAAGTATGCTTCTTCAGCTGCACACACAAATTCATCCACGACCTTTTTAATTCATTTCAAAAATTACCAGTCAAGCTATCGTCTAGTGTCTATAGATAGACTTGCAGCCCGATAATTCATTACAATAGAACTAAATTCAAATCGATTACCAGGCGCATTTGTGTGGTTGTGGGAGAAGCATAAAGCCACCCTGCCACTCCGTTTGCCGTTTTGTCGTACACAATCAACAAAAACACATCAACAAAATCGTTTACTTACACAAAACTTTGTTTCACTACAAATATTTCTTTGCATTAACAAAGTTTTTGCTTTCCGAGCCCGACGGAAAACACGTACACAAATCACCCCCGCGCGGGGCAGGGTATTGCAAACCTACGCACCGGGTGCAATTTTTCACTCTGACGTTTCAATTTTGACATAAAATGTACAAAACTTTTGTCATAGGTTGTGACATAGGTTTGGAACGCATCCCTGTGTATTTTGTGAAGGACAGCCAGTGAACAGTAGATGGAGTTCAGAGAATCATGTTTCAGAAACAAAGTTTTGCGTAAGTATGTGTTTTCTTGTTGAATGTTTTCAAAAAACTTTTTCTGGAGACCCGGCTTAACACAAGCATGATAAATAACCATTGGAGAACAAAACCTATAAAAAATATTAAGGTCAATAAGATTGAATCTTATATCTAGGTATGTCTCCTCACAAATATTCTCTGTTATGATTAATATCTTTGCTCTTACATTTGCTCAAAAAATGCATTTACGAAGGTGCGAACGTGCTAAAACTTCATTATGCACGCTCCCATTCACGTCACTTTGCGGATTCTTTACGGTTTTTTTTTTATTTCGGTCGAACCTCCTCGGAATCACTTTTAGTCTATACATATGTCTGTCTCTCTTTAATACTAAAAAGAAAAAGAGAAGAAAGATGTAGTTCTAATGTTAACCACCCGCACGTGGCTCCGGAAATGCGCGCCATTCTATTATTTAAAAAAATGCTTAATTACTTAAATTATACATAGTGTTTTCTCGCAAATATGTTGAAAAACGTTGTATAACATTCGTGCAGATTGATATTACAGACTCGTGTCGTCACGGGCTTACATTCGTCTACCCGTTTGTAATAACCAACTTACCCTATTTGCTTCATAAATAACAATAGGTTTTTCAGCTGGTATATTTTGGTGTGCATTGATTTTGTATACCTAGTTTTCAATCAGCATGGAGTTCAGGTATTCTATAAACTTAAATGATAATGCTTAAGTAACAATAATTTTATCCGATGCCATTTCAATGGCGTTAATTGTAACTTTACATAATTACACTCATACTTTTAATCACTTTATTTAATTCAATTTTGCCACATAAATTAGAAATGGGCTAATGATAATGCTCATGTTATGATAGTAATGAAAACTACATAACTCGTGCGTGATACTTGGATCATACTTAGAACTGCAACGTGTTGCTTTATGACTTGGATGGATGGCCATAGCCCATTAAAAGATCATATAGCTTTTAAAATAATGAATTACACTGTTCCTTATTCTCGTAACGTAACACTTTGTGGAATATTTTAATAATTCTCTCAGCGTTTTATATAATAAACTTTATAATAACATTTATTTCACAGTGACATTTCCGATATTAAGATGATCTATGCTTTTGTGAGTTGTGTTTCTTTATATAATATCTAAATATTGCACTCGTCTGAGAAAATTGTATTTCGCATTCGACAATAAATAATATAGCTAAACCATACGGCATCCAGTTGTAATGAGGAGCGCTAATTTATCACGTATGTATATACTTAGTTATCGAACTTTTGCGCAACAACTAGCGAGAAAGTATTCGTATCGCCATCGTCAAGGTTTCTATGGAAACTGAGTAGCGTCCCTACCGGGCGTAAGAACAAAGTAGCTCCTTCCATAGAAACTCTGACGATGGCGATACGAATACTTTTTCGCTGTTGTTCGTACTTGGGGACACAGATGCAAAGATAGTCGATGCAACAGAACAATGCATATCATTGCTTAGATAAAAATGGGTTTGAAATGACAAAATGGTTATATTATGTTACGTGTTACCCCTTAGGTCAGAGTAACCAA